TTCAGCCGCAGAGGAGGAGAGCTCCCCGTCCGGCGCTGGAAAAAAGGTAAGATTTAACTCTTTCCTCACCATCCAGCCCGGCGGGAGTGGGACCCTGAGGGTGGGGGCACCCTCAGGGCACTATAGTGCCAGGAAAACGAGTATGTTTTCCTGGCACTATAGTGGTCCTTTAATGCGCATGCGCGCCAAGAGCCGCGCGTGCACTCAATCAGTCCATAGGAAAACATTCTTAATGCTTTCCTATGGATGCTGGCATCTTCTCACTGTGAAAATCACAGTGAGAAGCGAGGAAGCGCCTCTAGCGGCTGTCAATGAGACAGCCATTAGAAGCTGGATTAACCCATATGTGAACATAGCAGTTTCCCTGAAACTGCTATGTTTACAGCAGGCAGGGTTAACAGATAATACATGCCGACGAGCGCTAAGGGATGGCCGCTCCGCTTTTGCACCCTGCTCCCTCTTATGCTGTGCTGGTGCCTCTGTGCGGCCAGCGCCTCTTCCTCCAAACTGCACACGTCACTCGCATGACTTTGATTCCATGTGGGGTCTAGGACCTCATCATCCTCCATCTCATCTTCCACCTACTCCTCAACCCTGCCCTCCTTGCCGGTCTGCACACTGCAGAAAGCCACAGCAGTTGGCACCTGTGTTTTTCCAGCATGTGAACTCTGCAAAGGACATATGGGAATTGTTTTAGAATTGTATCCAGGCAACAGTTTCCCCTATAAACTGACCTCTCAGTTTGATTTGTGAGGGTATTGCCCCCGAATTACAATATTGCTATATTGGTATTTGACGGTTCTATTTGACTCTCAGATATGAAGTGCACCACAGGACTCAAATGTACTATTTAGCACCCAAAACTATTTGAATTTTTAAAAGTGCGCTGTAAGCACAGTGTTTGACGGTTCTATTTGACTGTCAGATATGAAGTGCACGCTGTAAATGTACTATTTAGCACCCAAAACAATTAGAATTTTTAAAAGTGCGCTGTAAGCACAGTGTTTGACGGTTCTATTTGACTCTCGGAAATGAAGTGCACACTCAAATTTACTTTTTATCACCCCAAAAATTTGAATAGATCAAAGTGCGCTGTAAGCACAGTATTTGACGGTTCTATTTGACTCTCAGATATGAAGTGTACCGCAGGACGCAAATGTACTATTTAGCACCCAAAACAATTTGAATTTTTCAAAGTGCGCTGTAAGCACAGTGTTTGACGGTTCTATTTGACTCTCGGAAATGAAGTGCACACCCAAATTTACTTTTTATCACCCCAAAAATTTGAATAGATCAAAGTGCGCTGTAAGCACAGTATTTGACGGTTCTATTTGACTCTCAGATATGAGGTGCACCGCAGGCCACATATGTACTATTTAGCACCCAAAACTATTTGAATTTTTAAAAGTGCGCTGTAAGCATAGTGTTTGATGGTTCTATTTGACTCTCAGATATGAAGTGCAGGCCATAAATGTACTATTTAGCACCCAAAACAATTAGAATTTTGAAAAGTGCGCTATAAGCACAGTGTTTGGCGATTCTATTTGACTCTCAGATATGAAGTGCACCGCAGGACGCAAATGTACTATTTAGCACCCAAAACAATTAGAATTTTTCAAAGTGCACTGTAAGCACATTATTTGACGGTTCTATTTGACTCTCAGATATGAAGTGCACCACAGGCCGCAAATGTACTATTTAGCATTAGCACCCAAAACAATTAGAATTTTTCTAATTGTATTTGACTCTCAGATATGAAGTGCACCGCAGGACGCAAATGTACTATTTAGCATAGCACCCAAAACAATTAGAATTTTTCAAAGTGCACTGTAAGCACCGTTTATTATTATTATTATTATTTTATTATTTATGTAGCACCAACAAATTCCGTAGTGCTGTAGAATGGAATATGAAAATAAAGGAATATATACAGTGATAAATGGGAAT